TCTAGGGGTTCGCTGTCGAGGAAATAGGTGTCTAGGTGTTCGCATTCGAGGAACTAAGTGTCTAGGTGTTCGCCTTCGAGGAAGTGGGTGTCTACGTGTTCGACGTCGAGGAAGTGAGTGTCTAGGGGTTCGCTGTCGAGGAAATAGGTGTCTAGCTGTTCGCATTCGAGGAACTAAGTGTCTAGGTGTTCGCCTTCGAGGAAGTGGGTGTCTACGTGTTCGATGTCGAGGAAGTGAGTGTCTAGGTGTTCGCCTTCGAGGAACTAAGTGTCTAGGTGTTCCCCTTCGAGGAAGTGGGTGTCTACGTGTTCGACGTCGAGGAAGTGAGTGTCTAGGTGTTCGCCTTCGAGGAAGTGAATGTCTAGGTGTTCGCCTTCGAGGAACTAAGTGTTTAGGTGTTCGCCTTCGAGGAATTGGGTGTCTACGTGTTCGACGTCGAGGAAGTGAGTGTCTAGGTGTTCGACGTCGAGGAAGTGAGTGTCTAGGTGTTCGCCGTCGAGGAAATGGGTGTTTAGGTGTTTGTAAGAAACAATGTGTCGTCGTCGTCGTCGTCGTCGTCGTCGTCGTCGTCGTCATCAGCTACGGAGAGGAAATGCATTCTGGAAATTTTGGCGCAAGAGATATAAATGTGTATCTATGGGTGCGATCGAGTTGCCACTACGAATGCTTCGAAGCGTTTGATTAATCAATCAGAAGAAAGAATTTTACAAATTAACCAATCATGAAATGCTTCGAAGTCTTCGTAGTGGCAACTCGACCGCACCCTATAATATCGATCTCTGCGATTTGTAAGATCGATAAAGTCGGATTGAGTCTCGACAATAACAAAGGATTGAGGTTAGGAAATTTATCACATCGATGGCATATAAAAACATGTAAGTGAGGTTAAAATAAATAAATTTTCTGATCATTTATCTGATTATTTTATGAAATATGAAATAATTTATTAAAGTTATAATATCCTTTCGTACGCAGATTATTAAAAAAATTTTAATTAAGTGCGTACGCAATGCAGTAGGAAGTGAAGATTTGAATCTTCTCGATTTAACGCAATCTGACGTGATTGGTGGCTCGGCATCTCTTTGTTACATTCCTTAGAGCATATACTACATGGAGGAAGCACTACGGGTTAACAAGTGTGGACGCTGTAGAGAGAGAGGACGGTAGTTTGGGTAATTGCCCTCTCTTTCTAATCGTTAAAGAAAAATGGGGAGATCCCGCCCCTCCAGAGAGTGGTGGTGGCAGTATGCAACCAATCTAACCTAAAACTATTATTTAGAGCTTAGTATTAAAATACATATTTTATGCTTCTTAAAAAACGGAAAGCAATCAAATTATATTTGATAGTTATCTCAATATTATCCTATGAAATAATTTATTATTTATCAGGTCTCTATTATATTTGTCCTATTTTTTACAATATCTTTACAAGTACATATGTTTTATTTATTTATTTAAAAATAATTGAACAGTAAAACAATGCAACAATATTTTACAAACTGACACTTTTTGAGCAAGAATCATAAATATTTTGATATTTTTATTAACAGTTTTATAACGTACGAACAAATAATATAGACGATGCGAACATTTATAAAAATTGTAATATACAGAACGCAGAATAACGTAAATAACGTAAATATAGAACGTAAAATTGTAAATACATGAAAAGGAATCCAAATAACCCGGTTACTTACAATAATACCTGCACAACAGTATCACTTAAGCACATAGACTTATACTTCTTTCAATAAATCTGAAATTATAATTCAGTACAAAGAATTTGTTCTTTTATAATTATGTATATACTAGAGAGAACAAATTAATAGAGATTCTAAAATTATCTGATACAATATTGATTTCAATCGTATCAGATACGTTTAGAATTTCTATTAATTTGTTTTCTCTATTCTTTATATTATATAATTGTAAAAGAACTGATTCTTTGTACTGTCTTTTTTTTCAGATTGGAAGAAAAGTCTGTTATTTTTACAAAACTGTAGGAAGTGAATTATGAATCTTTGCAACTTAATGTAACCGTCTGACGTGATTGCTGACCTGATATCTTTTTGGTACATTCACACATTTTAAAATCACCAAGCACGCTACTGATTCATGGAATTACCGTGAAATTATTAAAAGATCTCTTCGATATCGTATTAGATCAGTTTTCTAATATTTATCCTCTCTTTTCTCTACATAATTAGAAAAAAACTAATTCTATATACTGTATTTTATTTTCAGATTTATTGAAAGAAAAGGCCTGAATCCAGTCTGTTGGTATAATATACCTTTATATTTGATAGTCATCTCAATATTATTCTATGAAATAATTTATCATTTATCATCTATTTTTTACAATATCTTTACAAGTATATGCTGATAAATAATACATTATTTCATAGAACAATTTTGAGATAACTACCAGACAAATAAATGATAATATAGTAAACGGCAACTCACAAAATAAACACAGTAATGAGAAAATCAAGATTACGCTAAATAAACTATTATTTGTTGTTTTTTTTTAGTATACATTTCCTTTTAAGGACATTGACAAATAATTTTCTAGATATTTTAGTAAAAGATATATATCAAGATTACGCCAAATAAAGTATTATTTGTTTTTTTTTTAGTACACATTTCCTTTTAAGGACATTGATAAATAATTTTCTAGATATTTTAGTAAAAGATAT